GCTCAGTGACATTTTGTAAGAAAAATAACACATTGCTAATCTTTCTCAGAGTACAGATTAAATGCTGAGATCATTATCAAATGGAAGTAAACATGTTTACTTTTATTTGAATGTAGGACACTAGTTTTTCACTTGGAAATTCCATTCTTTGTTGACAATTCTGAATGTTTTAGAGGTAGACTGACCTACAACTGGATTTTATTATTGTCTCAGCTTTTTATATTATGTTTGTTTCCTTGTAAAATTATTAATTCTTGCACTAACATTTGAAGCAGAATAAGTCTTATTGTGTTCAAATTTTAATTTGGTTGCATTAATGTATTCAAATTATTATTCATTGGAATTACAAAGTGCTCAATATGGACTAAAACATTAATTTAGAATTGAAGTAAGACAAAGTCATTTTGGCACATCACCACAGGCCATTAGTACATTTTAACCTACAGTCAAATTATCACATTAAATATTTCAATTTATTTGGAACACCACTGGATTTCAATTGAAACTTCACACACTTGGATTTGTGATAGAACATTTAGGACTATTTGGGATTTAATCCACAATACCATAAGATCTTTATAAATTTTCAATTGTTCCAGGGACAAAAACTTGTTGGAATTTACTCTTTTCTGTGACTTAGATAAGAACACAAGTCTTAACAAATGCAAATGCCCTTATGCAAACAAATGAAAATACCATTATGCAAAATACTGTAAATGCCCTTATGCAAAATACTGTAAATGCTGTATATGCCTTCATGCAAATTACTGTACATGGTCTTTCTACTGTAGATGCCCTTATGCAAACAAATACAAATGCCTTTATGTAAACTACTGTAGAAAACCTTATATAAATTATCATAAATGCCCTTGTGCAAATAAATGCAAATGCACTTATGCAAACTATCCTAATGTCATGCAATAATGTTTTATTGTCTGCTTACATTTTTTCAGAGTATAAAGAAGCTCCAAACCAGTACTAATATGTAAGTCAAACAAAGATTCCAATGATGATTTATGTCCTTTTCATTTTGCTGATTTCACATTAATAATTGTTGACAATAATGTAATTCTCTGTACATACTAATGGCAGCTGCTCTCCATCTGACCTATACAAATAACAAAAAAGACCTATATGTGTGATGTTTCTCTACTGTTTTGTCAGTGAAAGTCCTAATTCACATGGTTGATTCATATACAAGGATATTAGGTATATTTAATTTGAATTATTTTTTTTTCATTATATGCTATTGTGGCTGATCTTTGAGAAAAGAAAATTACTAAAACTCATGAGTGAGAATCACTATCTGAGTCAAGGAGATTGTGATTTTATGCTTGACTTTTATGATTTTTGTCACATGACATATGGCAACACTCTATTTCTTCTGGAATAATTTATTATGACCCTCATCTGGGTATTTGATTTGCATATCTGCTTTGTAATATAACTTTTCTCAAATTCTGTCATTTGTGCTTTATGATCTAGCAAAACCAATTTGTACATTTACTGTGACCAGAACTTTATTTGGGCTTGAATTTATTTCTTCAAATTATTTAATTAATTTATTATTTTCTCTGGAAAGATAACAGCATTCTGATAACATTCTCATAAACAGAAAACTAGATTTAAAGTGAAATACAAACCAATATATTTTTAAATTGTATTATTTGGTCCAACAAAAGGCTGTTGGCACATCAGGATTATACTGGTTATCACATCCACATTTTCAGTGTTGTACTTGAATTGGATTTCTACTATTTAAATTATTAGGACTTTTGTCTGTAATTCTAGGATTATTCTGGGATTTTATTTGCAACACCAAAAGGTTTTGTTTCCATTTTCATTTAAAGCTCCATGGAAATAAATTATTTGTTGAATTTTACAAAGCTTGCTGCTGTTCACTCTTTTCTGATACTTAGTTTAAGTGAATAGAATTGTTCATAATATTATGCAAGAAAGAAAATGGACGAAAAGGCCAAAAGAGTACAATATCGGAGAATGCAGAAGATATATATGAATACCCACCCAAACCCCAGTTTAGTATTAAGTAATTTATATAAAAAGATCAAAAGTTAATTTTGTGATGATGAATAAGAATTTTATTGATCGCATACTCATTATAAACAATGAGAAAATCATTTTCATTAGTTAAGCTAGGTAAACATTGTAAGAAACTGAATTAAAATATATAATACTTTAAGTGATAAATCACAATGGTTTGTCAAGACAGTCTTATTCAGCAGCAGTAGCATTTGTAAGTAATGAACAGAATAGTTTTTGAAAGAAAGTTAAATACTGCAATACTTCCTTTCTTTCTAAATACATCATTCTATAATTACCATACTTTTTTTTCATTTTTATAACTATTCTTCAGAAGAAAGTTGACATTCATTGTTAAAAGCTGATGTAGTTCTTTAGTTTAAATAAAAAAATACATTTGCAAAGAATTAAATTTTGTTCTTATAGCTAACAGCTCCACTTTAAAATTTGTTCTCTATGGCACTTGAACATAATGTGTCTCAATTAAACTGAAATGTAAACCTTTAAATTTTACCCTCCAATTTAAAATTTGAACTTGATACCAAAACAATTTTTAAAAAATAAAAGAAATCCAGTTGTACAGTTTGTCACTGCATTAATCTCCTAATAAGCTATCTGTAATGATACAATGTTTTAAATACCTGGTGTTGTACATGAATAAAGATGATATACATTACATCATCATCAGTGCTGCCAAAATGGTACAAATAAGTCATTGTTTACAACTGCTGTCAACCATTTCATCTCCTACAGTAAACTATTGATTTAATAACTGGATTCCATTCCTCTTTCAACATTTCAATTACTTTATCTTCAAAAGGAAGTCCTCTGTCTGCGTGGGTTTTTTTTGCTATACCTTTCACTCATTTTGCATTAACATGAAATGTATCAATCTTTAAATCAAAATAACTAATGCTGAATGATCCAAAAACATTTCCAAACATTCAAAATAAGACCATTTCTTTTTTCTGCTAAGTGCTTAATCCATCTTCATCAGCCTTTAATATTCTTGAGTGGAATAACTATGAGAGATATTCTGGATGTAAATATGGCATCATTTTTATTTAAGATAAACCAGACAGTATTAGAAGACCTTTGGTGGAAACCCCAGGCCAATATGATCATCTGTTCAAGTAGAGTAAATTTAACATGATTTTCAAGATGGATTTCATGGTAGCCACATTTACTATAACTTGCACCATTTGCATTTAGGGCCAACTAGACATCTCAAGAACTCTTTTTGTGAAAATCCTATGTTCTATGACCATCAAGTTTGTCCTATGTTATATGACCATCAAGTCTGTCCTATGTTATATAACCATCAAGTCTGTCCTATGTTATATGACCATCAAGTCTGTCCTATGTTATATGACCATCAAGTTTTTCCTATGTTATATGACCATCAAGTCTGTCCTATGTTATATGACCATCAAGTTTTTCCTATGTTATATGACCATCAAGTCTGTCCTATGTTATATGACCATCAAGTCTGTCCTATGTTATATGACCATCAAGTCTGTCCTATGTTATATGACCATCAAGTTTTTCCTATGTTTTATGACCATTAAGTCTGTCCTATGTTATATGACTATCAAGTCTGTCCTATGTTATATGACCATCAAGTCTGTCCTATGTTATATGACCATCAAGTCTGTCCTATGTTATATGACCATCAAGTCTGTCCTATGTTATATGACCATCAAGTCTGTCCTATATTATATGACCATAAAGTTTGTAGTAGCAAGATTTTCAAGATTGATTAAGGATTACCTAGACACCATTAGACTTCTGACAAACAATCCATGTTGATGTCTTTACAAGTACTGATACCATGACTGCTGTCAAGATGGAAATGGCAGCCATACATGAAGTAAGATTGGCACCAGTTTCAACCAGATATAATTAGTTTTCTGCTGAAAACTCCATGTGAAATTTTCTTTTGGTTAAAGAGTAGCAATGTCTAAGATATTTAAAATGACTGCCATAACAGACAGATTGGAACTATATTCATTCAATTAGACATCACATGAAGACCATGTTGGTAAGATTCAGGATGAGTAGCAATATAATTTCAATTTTTCAATTTCAAGAAAGTTGCTTTTGTGGCCAAACTAGATGTTTTTCCATCTTCATTTGTGACCATCTTGACCTTTGAATGAATGTGTAAAATTAGATGGCAATCCATCCTCCAAGTTGTTTATGAGTAGCAATAACAAACTTGCAGTATTACAGATATCAGGCAATCCTGTGCTCACTTCTAGTCTCTGGACACTAAAGTTAAAAATGGTGGATCTGCTTTTGGCAAAGTGATATTTAGCATTTTTGGTTTTATGTAAAAACTTGTGTATATCCAGACTCTTCAAATATAACTGGATTTCACTGTAATAATTAAAATGAGTGAACATTTATTAAATGAAAGAGTGATTTAACCATAAAGACGATTTGCAAGTTCTGAAAAAATGGTACATATAAATATATACTGATCAATAGAATAGGAAATTACTCATTACAAAAGTCTTCAGTTCTTTCATTCTATGCTCTTCCTCAAATGGGAAACATAAAAATTTCAAACATGGGAAAAAGGATTTAACAAGTATGGTTAGATTTTAAATGATATTAGAATGTACATTTTTTTCAAAACATTGGTAAACTACAAGCAACACAAATAATATTAATAACATAAAATCACTGAAAAAAAATGATCATTTATTTATATTCGGTGCTCACTGTAATCAACAGCCATCCCCATGAGATCACTTAAATGTCAGTCAGTCCAATTTCTCCATCAAAATAAAAGTCAATTGTGTTTGATTTATCTATCTATTAATCACTCTAAATCAAAGATTAGGCTCTCTATCTTTGAACAAGGGTCACTCAAAGGGACTGATACACTACTGGCTGAAAATAAATACCAGGAATTCATAAGACCATTTCTTCTCTTTAACTACTGAATAGAGAACTGCAGTAGCTCAGCTGGTAGAGCACTGGACCCATGATCAAAAGGTTATTGGTTCAATGCACACCTAGTCCAGCCTGATCAGCTGCCATAATAAATCTTTGGAAAAAGTATCAGCTCCCATTTTTTGGCATGAAAAAGTCAATAATGTGTTAATAGTAAAAACAACTGGTGGCTTTGCTGGGTGTCTGATCAACATCCTTTTTATTTAGGATCAGCTGGTTCTTCTAGTGGTAAATTCCATGCATATATGACTTTCCATTCAGGTGGAGTACTAATACAAGATATTTCATGACTGCCACTTTATTGGATGTCCAATTGACACCGTTCTCATTAGGATTGACTAGACACCAAATGATGTAAAAATCTCATGCCAATATAACTGTCCATTCAAGAAAAGTAGTAATAACAAGACTTTCAAAATGGCTGCTATGGTGGCCATGCTGGGTGTTAGATGGACACCATTTTAATTTAGGACCAAATGGACATCAAAAATAGTATTCTGGTGAATACCCTATCTTCACAGAACTTTCCATTGAAGATGAGTAGCAATAAAAGTTCATCAAGATGGCCACTGTGGCAGCCATATTGGATGTTGGAGCAGAACTCTCTTCATTTAAGACCAACTAGATCACAGTATGAGAGTGTGTGTGTAAAGTTTCATGACAAGCAACTTGAGAGTAGAGATAAACAGACAGGCAGACAACATAAACTCTTCTGGTATATGACCAGTAGAGCTAACAGATAGTACATGTATACACTGATTACTGTGATAACACACATGTATTATAATTTGAATGGGATTCTGGATGAGCAGAAAATCCAGTTTGTGGACAGGAGAATCAACTAATATGCAAATAATGCTTCATCAGGACTAAAATCACATTTACCTGCCACAAAAACATTCATGCAAATTCGCATCATTTTTCATAAGGTCTAAAATCTGGCATCTTTTATGATCAAATACTAGCCACAAGATTAAAGATGCAAGAAAACAATTATATATCTGTGTAGAAAAATTGTTCCATGGTAAGCAAATAGATCATTGTTTCATGGTAGGCATATACAGGGAATTATGGTATCAATGACAATTTTACTGTGCTTTTTGGAGCCATACAAGTGGCCTACCTTGCAAGTCAGGATGCTGTATATTGAGTTATTGTATAAATACTACTATTAAATATTGAAATGGGTTCCATGATCATGTGATGTGATGTGATGTGATTATGATTTTTAACGTAGCTTTGACAATTTTTTCAGTCATATTGCTATGTCTGCAGTGTGGTAGTTTATAGTGATGTCTAGCACTGAGGCATCATGCCACAGACATGTAGCATAATGTCCCATCCAGTCACATTATCCTGACACCTGGACGACCAGTCCTAACACTAACTTCTTAATGCTGAGCATCAAGCAAGGCAGCTGTTAATACCATTTTTTTTAAGTCTTTGGTATAACTCGACCAGAAATCAAACCCACTACCTCCCACATCCGAGGCATTCTAACCACTAGGCCACCAGAGCGGTTCCATGATCATAAATGCCTTGTAAGTGACCACCTTACACTGATGTTGACTTACAGTGTCACATAAATCACAAAAAAAATAAAACCCGTATGAAATTTTAAAGCAGATTCCACCTGGATTGTAGGTGGATTCATGTCATATTCTGTCTAAAAACCACAAACTTCCAACGGACTTTAGGCTGACTGGGGATATGGCTAAGGTGACAGACTGAATCTGTCTAATAGTAAACCATACTATTTCTTGTATTCCTCCTAAAGTATAACTCTTAGGTGGAAATGTTCTGATTGTCTAGTTTATTTTCCTACCTTAAGACCGAGTTTGGACTTAGACTGATTTTTGCATAAATGTTAGGTGTATTTTTGAACTTGATCACAATAACTATAAGCACAGATTAATCTTTGAACTTTGAACTTGATCACAATAACTATAAGCACAGATTAATCTTTGAACTTTGAACTTGATCACAATAACTATAAGCACAGATTAATCTTTGAACTTTGAACTTGATCACAATAACTATAAGCACAGATTAATCTTTGAACTTTGAACTTGATCACAATAACTATAAGCACAGATTAATCTTTGAACTTGATCACAATAACTATAAGCACAGATTAATCTTTGAACTTGATCACAATAACTATAAGCACAGATTAATCTTTGAACTTTGAACTTGATCACAATAACTATAAGCAGATTAATCTTTGAACTTTGAACTTGATCACAATAACTATAAGCACAGATTAATCTTTGAACTTGATCACAATAACTATAAGCACAGATTAATCTTTGAACTTGATCACAATAACTATAAGCACAGATTAATCTTTGAACTTGATCACAATAACTATAAGCACAGATTAATTTTTGAACTTTGAACTTGATCACAATAACTATAAGCACAGATTAATCTTCGAAATTGATCACAATAATTATAAACACAGATGAAACTTTGAACTTTGAAAATTGCTGCAGACTGGATTTTGAACTTGATGTTTACACTAAAAATAAGTTTGTTTTGCTTTCTTTAGAAATATGCACTACAAAAATCATACCGTAGTGAAAATGTGACTGAAATTTCAGTGAAATCAGTGAAAATTGTTTGACATTCACTCAAATGTCCTTTTTTCACAATTTATGGTACTTTAGATTTTACCAAAATTTCTGAAAATATCAGTGATATTTTGCAATTGAAATTTCACTGACTGCTAATTTTTGTAAATATATCACTGAGAATTTGTAATTGAAATTTCACTGAGAAAATGCCAAAAGTTCTGAAAATATAGTGATATTTTGTGATTATAATATTTGACATTTCAGTAACAAATATCAATAAGATATAATGAAATTTATTTTTTGTTTCTTGTACAATTTGAAAGATTTTTAGCAACATTTTTATTTCCTGTGTTTGATAGCTGTAATTTTATTGTTCATTTTTGGGAACAATAACTTCTTTCCACATCTTTCCTTGTTATATTTCTTTTTCAAATTTTTTTCTGCTGTTGTAGTGTTGTTTAAATTCAGTTCTATTTAACTGCTGTTGTAGTGTTGTTTAAATTCAGTTCTATTTAATTGCTGTTGTAGTGTTGTTTAAATTCAGTTCTATTTAACTGCTGTTGAAGTGTTGTTTAAATTCAGTTCTATTTAACTGCCCTCAAAGAAGATTGCTTTCTTCTTTTATGTTTTAAAGCAGAATTTCTCCAGACCTGAATTTGATTTTCCTCGATATGGACCCTTTTTTCAATTTTGATCTCCAAAACTTTTTTTAAAAAAAAAATAATTTGCTATCCAGTCCTATTCCGCAACAAGTATTTGCTCCAAATATTATTTAACTGAAGATCACTGTAAAGAACTTTCTGATTGGTCAAAAGCAATGAGAATAACTTGAATGCAAAGTCGATGGAAATGTTTATCTGTATGAAAACTGAACACAGGGACTTACATTTTCCTTTTGTGCCATAAAAAACTTTACAGTAGTGGCTAATGTGAAAAATAAGGTAAGGACTTGAACCAGGATGATTTCAAAGTTATATAACTCCAAAATGATTAACTTCAGAATTTAAGGAGGGACAACATATAGAACTCTGGTGGGAATTGCAGATATGCCAGATATGACAGTCATATCTTTACAGGCTTTTCTTGACCCACAATTAAAATCATCCTTCAGTGTTATTATTAAATATTCTAGTTGTGTTAGAACTCAAGATAAACATTTGTCATGGCTGCTTATGGAACTAATTCAAGAGAACACAACAGTATCATAGTTTGTACATTAATCATATATCAAGCCTGAAATACAACAGAGACATAAGGCAGGCTCCTAACATTTACTCTTTTCATAATTAACGTGTCAAATGTATGCTTTTCTGTAATTTTGTATTATTTTCATAGTTGAAATTTTCAATGCAGGATAATATTTTATATATGTTATGTATTCACAGATGCATGTGCATGTGTTCCAGGCTCAATACTTCGACTTTTAAAATCACTTATATATTTAGTGTCAAGCCAGATTCTTTACATCATGCTGTATATAATCAAATGCTATATGATCGCTGCAAACAGTATTTTCCAATTAATTTCGACACATGTCGTCTTGCGGTTGTTTACATATGTAAAGCTGTGGCAAGTGAAATTTCAACATTTTTATAGGTTTGTAATGAAAAAGAATGAACATCACTTTTTTTGTGCATGCAATTACGTTCATCATCATATACAAAATTCCATTCAAACTTGTTATACCTGCATTGGTTTAGATTACAAAATATATTCAGTGTATCATCTGATGTTATAGGTCATAGCCTGATAGTGACATACATGTCATTACAAAGTTAAGGTTGCAATATGATTTCATGGGAGCTATTATGGATCTAAATGACAAAAACGTTACTAATGAGCCTGCTTATCCTACATCAATAAGAAAGCAATAGTTAAGCTACTTTCAAAATTAGTTGTTGTTGTTCTAGGGCTTAATGCCATTGTTCAGCTCATGGAAGCCAGTATTAATGGTGAATTAAGAAACCGGGAAATCTGTGGAAAGAAACACAGACTCACAAGAAGCAACTGGCAAGCTTTATCACATATCCACATTCACTGAATCTTAGACCCCACACAGACAGAGGTGAGATGGCAGTGATCTGTAAAGTAGAGCACTTTAAACCACTCAAAATTAGTAATATTTCAGTAATAATGTTATTAATTGATTTTTTCCTGTGTATTTGTGCATGTGTGTGTGTGTGTGTGTGTGTGTGTGTATATATATATATATATATATATATATATATATATCTGACCACAATGCACTCAATTCAGACAAAGTGATAATTTTTTAAAATTTTTTATTTCTACTGTTTTTGACATTGATTTCAACTTAATGGACATTAATGTATTCAATTTAGTCATTGGATCCTTTATTTTGGTGGAAATATTCAGCCTTTGCATATGCGGACATTACATATTATCAAGTTTAAATTATTGTTTATTTTAATGTGTGCGTATAGCCACACATAATTTAGGTAACTACAGAGATATATAGAGTTGTTCCCCATGGTATTGTAATC